AAAAAATCCTTTAGGCCCAAAGTGGTTCTTAACCTTCTGGCCCTTTAAATACAGTCCCTCATGTTGTGACCCAACCATAAAATTATTTTCGTTGCTACTTCATAACTGTAATGTTGCTACTGTTATGAATCGTAATGTAAATATCTGATATGCAGGATGGTCTTAGGCGACCCCTGTGAAAGGGTCGTTCAACCGCCAAAGGGGTCGCGACCCACAGGTTGAGAACCGCTGCCTTAGGGTGTCTTTTAGTATAACTATGCCATGTAATTTAGGTCAAGGGAAACTAAAACAATTCAATCCAGACAGGACTAGTAATGAAGGTGTGGGTCACCCCACCATGTAAAGAACCATGACCAGCTGAGGTCCTTACTGAAGGCAAAGGGAATACAGAATGGATGGTGGGAGAAAATAGTTAAAATTATTATTATCTATGACCAGTAACAACCAAGGAATGTAATTGTCATAAGTATGTTCTCCTTATTCCACTATGAATGTATGTATACATATTTATTTTTACTTATTTATTATTGTTTATTCCTTCTCTTACTTTCTTATATATAAGATTGTTGGGGAGTACAGGAGACTTGGTTGGAAAGTTTGTAAGGAGGACATTCTGAGATAAGGGAAGAGTGCTGAAGGCGGCACCCCTAATTGTTCCTTGACCTTTCCAAACAAGTCTGTGCATGTGCAGACCCCCGGGTGTTTACTGGAATCCTTATGCTTAATCTTTAGGTGTCCTTTCTTAAAGGCTATTACAAACACATGTGTGCCCCCAAGATTACTTACCCTACTGATTGTATCTAAAAGATAAACTTATCTGAAACTGCTGTTACAATAAAAACCTAATGAGGTGGGTGATTGAGGCTGTCTGGTTCCTTTAGCTAGGCAGTCCCTTAGTCCTCTCTTTCACAGCAAACATTATGTCAGAGTAATTATTCATCCATCAGGGTCTGCTGGTCAGCCCCAGCATAAGATTATTGATTTTATATCACATTGTTCAAAGTGAGAAGGGATAGAACAATGAGGAAGGTAAAGACATTAACAATAAAGTCAAAATGGCACAGGGGGAGGAGGTGTTAGTCCATAGAGGCCTGTCAGCCTAACCTGGGAAAAAGATAGTCCGCTAGAGGAGTGAACCCCAATGCAAGGCCCCAAAAGTTTAGGAAGCTGATTAGTTATTTTGAATAAGCTTTTGGTTCCTCCCAAGCCTGAGAATACATGCTTCTAGGTAAACAAAGGAGCTTTTGTTTGTTCCTGTTCTCTTCAGGCTGGAAGCATGTGACCTTGCCGGTCTGGTGGCCCCCTAGGGCTCCCTGACTATGGGGCATTGACCTCTGTCTTTGTCAGGGCCAGCCTGACAGGGTTGAGCCGGGCTGAGGCAGGGAGGTGGGAATTGAGAAAAGAAAGAAAGACAGGAAAGCGGGATCGGGAGGACCCCAGTTCTCTTGATGAACTGAAGCCACTTTATTAGCCACACAATACTATTTATACATAATACACTGAATAGGAGGTCTATCGAGAGGAATGTATTCTTTGTTCCTCTTAATCTCTAAGCGAAGGACACAGCAGAAGGACAAGTTCTCAGTACAGTATATCTCAGTAAATAATTACAGACTTCTTGGTAAGCTATGAAAGGCTCTACAAATGTTGCTCTTATTCTACTGATAAACGCCATCCAAACAAGTCTGGGAAAACTGTGTGGGTAAGGGTCCCAGTCTTGCTAGCCCCTACAGGTGCAAGGACCTTGCCAGCTTACATCTGGCCCCCAACAGATCCCCCTTCTTTGTTTTTTAGGCAAAGTTCATGTTTCAGTGTCCGGCAGTTTTTTATGTGTACATGTCAGCAGTAATATTTCAGTTCTGGATGGTGGACAAATGGTGGCAATGCAGGTCCGACCCTCTCTGGTTTGGTCCTGGGCAACCTGCAGCGACGCACAGCTGCTGACTGCTAGCATGATAAGGCGTCTTCACCATCTTTATTTCTGGACTGCTTCTCTTCTTGTTGTCTCACAGGGCCACTGCTATTCTGTGGCTGGAGCAGTCCTGATAATTCTCTTCTGTTGCAGGAATCCATATGGTCTTGGAGTTGTTTTCTGAAAATATACAAACGTATTCTCGACCAAAGGTTAATAAAGGAATCATATCTATAATTTAGACTTGGGATTCTTTTAATTTTTGTCCAAACGATTTTCCTTTGGCTTATTTGACACCATATGTGTTTTCATGGGTGTCTTGTTATTAGCATTATAAATGAAAAAATTTTTCTAGATGTAAATTAGTTACAGGATATTTTTCCTTATATGGTATTCTTCCACTATATTTCCACTATCCTCCCCCCTTTTTTTAAATTTAATTATTAGGAGGCTTTTGGAAATTATATAATGAAGTCTAGATAACTTTAAATTTTAATTTTTTGTACAAAAATATGACTGCTTTAGGTTTATTGTATGTTAAGCAATTTTACTATGAAATGATAATTATAGTTAATACTTTTTGAATAATTTTAATTAATCTGAAAACTTGACTACTATTTTACTGTCAAATTTAATACTTTAATAACAATCTTAGTTTATACTGTAAATATTAATGGAAAGGATTATTTTGTATCCTTGAGAAGGCCCTGAGCATTCCTGGTGTTAAGCTGGATTTAGATATAGGGTAGTTGCTGTTAGCCAAGTCTCTGTTATCTGGGTACCGATTTCGGCTGGACTAAGTCTCTTTCTGTTATCTAGGTCCCGATCTGAGCTGGGCATGGGAAGCGCAGCAGCCATGGGGGCAGGAGACCTCCCTCAGAAGGGGCGAGTATTCAAGCCCCTGCATAGTTGGGGGTGTGAGGATCTCTGCCCCACCTCTGTTGACCCCCAAGTTCTCCCCTGAGGCCCCCTGCGACTGTGCCTGTCTTAGGTCGCCCCTCCCAGAGGGGTCTTACCCGTCATTGACTAACCAGCCATCCTCCGGGGCCAAGCAGGGTGATGTGAGGTTTAGTTCTGTCTCCTTGGTAGCGTATGCCCCTGTGGCCTCCATGCCCAGTAACTGCCTTTGGATCTCCTCGCCTGCTGGCGGGGCCCCGGCATTGATCATGGGGAACCCAGATTTGTTCTCCAGAGAGGGCCCAGCTTACGCCATTGGGCAAGAGACAGATCCATGGTACCAGCTACCATGAGGCTTCAACCTCAGTATGAACAGAGAGCTTAGGTAACAGCTGTAGGCAATTGGAAGAGGGACCCCCTTGGCAAAAAGGGCAAGAGAGGTCAATATAGAATGCTTAAGTGCCTTCCCAGGGGGCCCTCCACACAGTGGAAGGGATAAAATCCTTTCATGTTCTTATTAAATTGCTGCCAAACAATTAGTTTGTAAGCTTGTTTGGAATAAATGTATAATATGCTGTTGTAAAATATTAAAAATTATTAATGAGCTTTTGTTATTTTAAAATATATCTTAAAACTCTACTGTTGTATTTTAAGAAATATTAAATAAGATAACTTGTTTTGCCCTTTCTTAGAGGCAAAAACTTAAAATATATATTTATTAATATTTATTTGATAAAGCTTTCTATGTGATTTCAAGTATATTAAATTGGCTTTATTAAAAAATCCTTTAAGAAGAGAGAATAAACTTTTGAAAACATTTCAGGGCCCATGAAATGTCCTAAAGTCATTCCTTGATTATAGTTTTAAAATCTAACTTAAAAGAGTATTAAATATATATGTGTATATAATTTAAAGATTATATACCTTTTATAATTATTAAAATATATCAATTAAATTAAAACTGATCTTTGTATTTAAAATTTTTGGTTGGGATAACAGAATTTATCCTCTTTTTTCAATTAGATAAATGTTGAAATTTTACTATAATTATATGATTTCTCCCAATTTTTTTAACCAGAACTTTAAACTCTTAGCTGGCAAGTTAAATATTTAGCATTTCTCAATCAGTAACATTTTTAAGAATAAACTTTAAAAATACATGACATAATCAATAGATTTAATTCTGTCCTTTAGATTTTTCATGAGAGAAATTTAGATTAATACTTTAGCATTTTGTTATTTCAGAATATCTAATTCAATTTAGTAAACTCTCAAAGCCTTGGGCTGCCATTGACTGGAAACAGGTAACCATTAAAATGCAAATTAGTTATATTCTTTCTACTAAGGATGGGAAACTGAGAAGCAAGCCTCTTTTTAAAAGTTGTCACTGGAAGGAAATTTTTGGCCTACCTGCTCTGTTGGGGGAAGGGAGGCTAGCCCTTCCTCTATTAGAAATTGCTTTGGGAAGCCAGCCTTAATTAAAGGGTGTAGCTGTCTTTTACCTGGGCTTAGATTTTTATAATTAATATATTTCAATAATTCTTGAGATTTAAATCTAATTTCTTATTTTAAGGCATATTCTTTAGCAAATTTTTGTAACAGAGATAATTTTACTGAATTTCCTTTTTGGCCTTGAGGTTAACTTTTTAATATTCTTTATTAGTATTTAAAAACTGTTCTTTATTATGGAAATGCCAATCCTGCAGCTAAAATCTAGCCAGCATCTTTTTTCCTTTGGGTCAAATTTTCCATTTTTCTTAGGAAATAATCAGTCTTGGGTTTTATTTTGTACATTTGTAATGAGATTTCAGCTTAGAACTCTATCTAAATGTCCAAAATCAGACAATGCGCGCCTTAGTTCCAAGCTAGTTTTCTCTTTACACGTGTACAGAAATCCCAGACGTATTTTTAAATTTCAGATTTGGTGGCATTTGCTGTAGCTGTATCGGAAATGCAAGGAAATCATCATTTCTTCTCTATGTGGGAGGTTTTAAATCTAATGGTATTTTGTTTATTTCAGTAGGCAAGGGCAGCACCCAGGGCAGACAGAATGTCTTATTCCTATGGATCCAAGGTCCAGCCCGGTACTTCCGGGGGTTGCTCGGAATAGCTCTTGTATCTATTTTGCTCTCTGGGGCAGGCTGGGTGCTGTGCAGCCTGCTGGCCTTGAGATGGCATAGAGACAGGAGGGTAAATAGACAATGCCCCTGTTATTTGCCATGGCTGGGCTGGCCCCTTTTGGTAGTTTCCCGACTGGTGTTGAGGCAAAGAATTTCCCTGGATATCTGTCTTAGATTTACACTCATTTGCCCAATGTTTTCCTTTTTTACATTTAGGGCACAGTCCAGGTTGTTTGGGACCTCTGCCATTTCCTTTATTAATCCCTTTATTAGAAGGACACTGTTTTGCTATGTGTCCTGTTCCTCCACAAGTGTAACACTTGTATGTTGGACTTTTCCCTGTGCTAAATTGTTGCTGAAGAATTCCTTTAATGGTGGTTCCCTTTAATGCAGCTGCAATGGCAACTCCTTGTATATATGAGGGACCAATATCTGCACAAATTCGGATATAATCTGAGAGAGTCCCCTGTCTTTGATAGGGCCGCAGTGCAGCTTGGCAGGCAGTGCTGGCGTTTTCATATGCCAACTGTTTAACTATTAACATGCCAGCTTCTCCATCCACCACTACTCGGCCAACAGCCTGTAATAGCCGAGAGACAAAATCCTGATACTTTTCATCTGGCCCTTGAATAATTTTTGAGAGCTCCTCTGTTTTCTGACCAGAGGTGGGTAACTTTTTCCAGGCTCTAATCCCAGCTCCATTAATCTGTCCATAAGCTTCCTGGGGGTATTGAATTTGATTGTGGGTATCAGCATAAACTCCTTCACCTACCAGCATTTCATAAGAAATATTAATCTGGGCAGCTCGATTACGAGAAGCTTGCTCCTTAGCCTTTTCATCATATTCTGATTTCCACAAGAGATAATCCCCTCCTGATAAACAAGCCTTGGCAATAGCTCTCCAATCATTAGGTGGGAGAGCCTCTGAGGCCATAGTTTCCAAGATGGTTAAAGTATAAGGGGAAGTGGGCCCATACTGAGCACAGGCTGTTTTTAACTCTTTTAAGGTTTTAAAAGGAAGCGGTTCATAAGCACGCTCACGCTGTCCCATGTGAGGGTTCACCTGTTCCATAACAGGGAAGGCGTGAATGCCCAATTCCTCACCACACTTTTGTGCCTCCTGCAAAGCCATTTGGAGAGGGGAAAGTGGAACTGGTGCTGCACAAGGCAGCGGAGAGCGGCGGGAACGGCCCCCGCGGCTTCTCTTTTTCTTGCCAAGAAGCTTTAATTTTTCTAAAAAGCATTCCAACACATCCTCTATATCACTGCCCTCTTCAGTTCCAGCAGAAAAACATTTTTCCTCCTCTTTTGCCTGAACAATACCTGTATTATCATCATGACAAAGAGCAGCAGCTTCCTCAAAATCCCCCTCATCTTGAGGAGTTAAATTGTCTTTAAAAGTTACATTATTTCTTTTTAATATACTGTCTTTTTTAGACCCCTGTTTTGTGCTATCACACTGCTTCTCCTTTTTTTCTGGCTTAAGAGACGGTTGATTATGGTCATGCCTGGGATCTAAACAATCCCGTATTAAATTCAATAAGGAAATGCAGACCTCCTGAATGAATTTTTAAAAAATTTCTACTTGCTTGTCATTAACCTTAGTTCCTTTACTATTGAGCATAAACTTTAACATTTGCCCATAAAGAGCATTTTCTCTAGATTCTAACTGCCCCATGCTTTACTCCCGACTATCAAAAAATTGCTCCTCCCTTACCTTAACGAGTGCACTCTTTATCTGGAGGAGTTTCTCACCGTCGTCTCTCCAAGCCCAACGGAGTTCCTCACCGTCTTATTCCCAGTTCCTCAGTCCCTTAGCTCGGGCGCCAGATCTGTCAGGGCCAGCCTGACAGGGTTGAGCCGGGCTGAGGCAGGGAGGTGGGAATTGAGAAAAGAAAGAAAGACAGGAAAGCGGGGTCGGGAGGACTCCAGTTCTCTCGATGAACTGAAGCGAGTTTATTAGCCACACAATCTTATTTATACACAACACATTGAATAGGAGGTCTGTCAAGAGGAATGTATTCTTTGTTCCTCTTAATCTCTAAGGGAAGGACACAGCAGAAGGACAAGTTCTCAGTACAGCATATCTCAGTAAATAATTACAGACTTCTTGGTAAGCTATGAAAGGCTCTACAAATGTTGCTCTTATTCTACTGATAAACGCCATCCAAACAAGTCTGGGAAAACTGTGTGGGTGAGAATCCCAGCCTTGCTAGCCCCTACAGGTGCAAGGACCTTGCCAGCTTACATCTGGCCCCCAACAAACCATTGACCCACACTGGCCGGCAGAACCTATCATTTTTTAATTGGCATTCTATGTAGTTCCATCTATAAGGAATGGGTTTTCTGCTTATTTTGGGAAAAGTATTGCAGTCTGATAATTTTAGCGACATAAATTAGTGGTCGGCCCTAAGACTATCCGAGAACGAAGATTGGCCGTAGTGTGCTGCGTTTGCTGTGTAAGATAAAAAGTACATTATTCCTCAGAGCTGCTCCCGTTCGTTGGACTGACTTTGGTATTTGAATATTTCGATACATTAAAGAAGTTGAGGGGAGAAAAGCCGAACCCCCCCCGCCCGCCCC